AAAAGATGTTTGGATCTAAAAGCAGAAACCAGTGGTTTTTGTTACCTATCTTGGTACCTGTCTTAGTTATGTTTCTCTCATTGCTAAGACAAAAATACCTGATGCCTAAGGTTAAAGGAGGAGAAGTTTATCTGGCTCACAGGTTATAGAGGTTTCAGTCCATAATCAGCTGGCTCCAAGGGAGGCATGGCAGAGGAGCAATGTGTGGAAGACAGCAAAGGCAGTAAGAAAAGAGGAGAGACACAAGCCTTGTTCTGCCCCTTTTATGTTATCCTGGCCACCAGGATTAGGGCTGTGCCAGTCCAACCAATGGACCGATCCAGCAATCGCTCACCCTTAATCCCAGCACCCTAGTCCTAGCACTGAACCATGAGTCAATCACAAACTGGAGATTGAGCTCCTTCTGAAAAAGCCCAGCTCCGTGAGCACATGAGGCTTTGAGGAGACATGCAGACACAAACCACAACAGTGCACAATGTTGGATTCAGTCTTGAATGATTTTTTCTGGCTTCAGAGCTGAAGTTGCAGCTTGTCTGGAGGTGGGTATACAATCTCTGAGTTCATATTTGTGTGTAAAATGTTTGCTTGGGGTAATTTAGCACTGACCAGAGCTCGGCAGTGCTAGGATGTAATGCAGTAAAGGGTGGAAGCATTGGAGTCAGGGGTGTGTGTGCAGGGACCCCAGGGTACTTTGGGAATAGAGATCTAAGCTGATCTGAGACTTTGGACCAAGCTCTGGCAGTACAGTGGAGGGGAGAAAGAGAAACTCTCTACCCCTGTTAGTTCTTATGTGGGCTTTTTGACTAGACCTAGAAACCCAATTAATACAAAGCTGATTAACAGAAAAGCACACATTTCATTTTGCATGTGTATGGGGACCTTCACAAGAGAGAGAAGTCCAAAGAAGTAACCATGATGCTTTTAAACTTTTTAAGACAAAGAACAATAAATGTATGAAACAATGACAGGACAAATGGATATCTGGCCTGGGATAGTAAATTCCAGGGATATTACTAGGAGCTATGTGGGGATTGGGATATAGAAGCCATGAAGGACGAGTGTCACTTCAGATCTGTTTATTCAGGCTCGCTCTAGCTCCACTCACCAATGTGTGTTCATCAGGTCTGTCTTTCAACCTTGAAATGGGAAGAGCAGTCGTGATGGTTCGCTGCATGACAGGCAAGGGAAGTGGCCCTTTCTGAAGCTGCAGTTCAAGTAATTTCAAATGGAAATAACCAGTGTACCAGTTCAGCATCTCGCTCCTTCACTCTTCCAGTAGGACCTTCTCAGAGAGCCTCATGTGCCAGCACGAGGAGCCCTGAGTCATGAAGCAGCAGCTTTGAGGGACATCTGGTCTCATCACAATTATCCCTGTGCACTTTGTTGCTCATTTTTCTGGGGGTAATATAAGACCGATGAAGGGAAAACTGTAATGTTGTATGCTTGTTCTGTGCATTTCTTCATTTAACAATTCTTTGATTGATGACTATGTCACAAGCACCTTGTTCCTGGTACCCAAAGCAAATGACTTTCAGGTACCACATTTACTGGATTAAGGGTACACTGAGAGGTCTGTCCACAAGCACATAGCAAATGTGGATACCCAGCCAGGGTACCCCAAGCACTTTAGGGGAACACACTAGGAGAAGGGTGGCAAGCCAGCCTGCAGGAAGCAAACTGTCTGCAGGCCTTGTGGCATTGGTGATAGTCTGAAAGCGGAGGCACTGGTGGCCTGATTTCCAGCCCAGTTGTGTGCCTGGCTTTCCCTGACCCAGGGCCAGTGTCCTCATCTCTGAGAGAGGCAGATGGTACCACCTTTCTTATCTCTAGAGGGTAAAGCGAGGCAGCAGCGAGCCTGTTTGGGAGGCTTTCCTCCTGTCCCAGCAGCATGCACCTGCAAGGTGGTGAGTGGACCTTGTTTAGTATTCAGTGTTTGACTGGGAACTTCAGATTTGTTCCTGTGAGATCAATGCAGCAAAATCCTTAAACTTATTACCTGGACCTTCTTCTTGGACAGTAGAGCCTGTGGTTAGAGTCTAATGGAGTGAATCCCAAAGTCTTTCCTTGGCTGCCTGTGTGGATTTGCAGAGATTGTATGACCAAACTGAATTCCAAGTTTTTCATCTGTAAAGTGAGGATAACAGGACGTACTTCATCAGCTGGTGCTGAGGCTTAAAGGAAACCATTTCTGCTGGGTGAGCCAGAGCATGCTTGTAAACCCAGGGACTCAAGAGGCTGAGGCAGGAGGAGTGCAGGTTCAAGCCGGCTTGGGCAGTTTATCAAGGACCCTGTCTCAAAATATGAACTAAGAAATAAATTTAAAGAAAAGGTTGAGGATATAGCTCAGTGGTAAGAATGGCTCCTGGGCTCAAATCAGAGAGAGAGAGACAGAGAGAGAGAGAGAAAGAGAGAGAGAGAGAGAGAGAGAGAGAGAGAGAGAGAGAGAGAGAGAGAGAGAATGAGAATGAGAATGAGAATGAGAATGAATGGATTAGTTTAGATGGAATGCCTGGCCCGCACACACAGGGATTGCGTTAATATTTACCGTTATCAGGAACAGGCTAATGACAGAGGAGCGTCCACAGGTACACAGTTCCTCCTGGGTCATTCTTGTGTTGTTTATGCTTCAGGTGAGTCATTTTGACCTACACTGAGTGCAAGGTGGTTGGAATAGACCTGATATGTTCTATCCCTTCATGTGGTAGACAGGATAAAACCCTGCAACTGAGTGAGTTCTTTATTACCACCTTATATTCTAAAATCAGCCTTAGAAAAGAACAGATTTTTGAAACACTATATCATGGATGACCCTTGAGGATGTTTTGTTAAAGGAAATAGCCAGACACAAAAGGGCAAACACTGCGTGATTACAGTTGTATGAGGCATCACAAGTAGTTGGATTTATGGAGAGAGAAAATGGAGCAGTGATTGCCAGGGTTGGGGTGGGAGAGAAATGAGGGGTGGCCCAGTGGTGTGGGTTTCCATGCTGCAAGATGAAAAGGATTCTGAGGATGAGTTCCCAACAATGTGAATGTAATGCAGCCACTGAAAAACTAGCTGAGCTGTTTTTGAAAGTTAGTGGGTTGGTAGTGTTTAACTATAAAAAATAGTTAAGATGGTAAATGTCAAGTTATGTGTACTTTACCATAATTTAAAAAATACTTCTTAAGTATCTACCAAGCATCAGGTAACACACCAGGCAATGTGTGTGGAACAAGCACAGCTCTTGACTGTCCAGTGGAACTCGGGGTGGGAGAGGGGGCGCGTATCGGTCAGGTGTTAGGTAGCTACACTGAGGGCAGAGGGCAGCCGAGATGGGGCACAGAGAAGCCCAGGCTCGCTGAGTACAGGGACTGAGCCATGTGGGGTGCAGGGCAGTGCCAAGAGTGCGGCCGAGGTGTGGGGCAGCTGCTCTAGGAGCGGCCTAGCCTGTGTGGCAGGCAGGTGTGAGAGGCCAACATGGGCAGTTTATCAAGGACCCTGTCTCAAAATATGAAGCAGAGGGCAACCACGAGCAGAGGGCAGATGATGGGGTGCTGTGACACAGGTAGGGATCTGCACTCCTGGCCTTCTCGGCTTCATGGAGAAGATTTGTCTTCTTCCTGAGCTCAGTGGAACCCACTGAGGAGGAGGCCATGGGAGAGCAGATAAGAGTTTTGAAGAAAAAAATCAATCTGAGAGAATATTGTTTCTTAGAAGGAAGAATCTTAGTGACAGTCAGTTTGATCTGGGTCGGGCCCTTGTAACAGGTCCCACCCAAGTATTTGCTGGGCCCTAGAAGGAGTCCACATGGATGCCATTCCCTAAGTTTAGATACTTATGGAGCATAGTCAGGCTGACAACCAGGATCATCATATTCCGTCCTCCTGTCTCTGTAAGTCAGACATCAAAGAAAGATGTGGAAGCAGCTAGGGTCTTCACATCACTAGGAGTCAGCCAAAGACTACACAGAATTACATGGCTCCTTAATCCTACCCTTATAAAGGAAAGAGTAGAAGAGTCTTATAATTAGTAAACCACTTCCTGTACATATTTTTGCATTCATTATAGCAAGCTCATTATGTTCTAAATAATATTTTTACATAATTTATCTTCTTTTGACAAAAATACTGAGTTGGACAACTTTTCTGAAATGGTTTACTGGAATATGATTCACCTGTGATATTTGGTTTCCTCTTCATTTCACATGAAGGAACTTGACCTGTTGAGGCCACATCCACCTGAAACCTTAGTAAAATCTTAGAGCTGTAGACTTGAGTAATGAGTTATTAATAGAACACATACTCAAGCTATGGTAATGTGACGGTCATGATTAATTACATTTATCACAGAAAATACTAGAAGATCAATTGGGTTATGTAAATCTCTGCTCACAGTATATAGCAACTTTTTTGTGATCTTCTTAGTCTGGCAATCTGATACAGATGTGGTCTTGGCAGCGTACAGTCTACATACTGTGCCATGTGCGCACATTCGGGAGCGGTGGGCATGGCTCAGTGCCACATCCTGTGCTTTGGCTGCGGCAGGCAGTGCTGTGAATGTGAGGTGCTCCTGATCTACACAGTGGAACCTGCAGAGACATGATTGCAAGGTGCTTCACGGTGCCAGGATCAAGTGTATTCTTGTACCCAAAGGCAGGAATTGATGAGATAATTGGCCTTTCCTCCAAGTGTTTCTACTGCTCAAATCCTCCCTGTCCCTGGAGCAGATGCTGCTTCTCCTATGGTCAGTATTAGTGGCAGCAGAACCCTGCACAGTTTAGGAAGTGCAGACTTGAGCACCCGCTGCTTTAAGAACTCAGGGCAAGGAGCACAGCGAGACATTTCCCTGGGGCTCAGGATGCCACCCGGTTTAACCTCATACTCCTGGAACATCTGGGAGGACCTAGCCGTGTCTGCCCCATCACCGTGTCCATTGTGGTATGGACTAATACTGCCATCAAGACCTTCCTTTCTAAAGCGTGTGTTTGAGGTCTGCTGACAGGGCTTTTCATTTTACAGGCACTGGCGAAAGCGGCAAGAGCACCTTCATCAAGCAAATGAGAATTATCCACGGATCTGGATACAGCGATGAAGACCGGAAGGGGTTCACGAGGCTGGTTTACCAAAACATTTTCACGGCCATGCAAGCCATGATCAGAGCCATGGACTCGCTGCGGATTCAGTACGTGTGTGAGCAGAATAAGGTAAAGTGGGCTGGATGTGACTTCCTAGTCTGGCTAGTGAATGTCCTGGAACAAAAGGATAGACTAAGTGGTTTGGTCAGTTGTGCTAGAGCGCCAGCTCTGGACCAGAGCTACCCAGGAGTGTGAAGGTTTGGTGAGATCTTTGGCTTGTTTGCAGGAATGAGATTTCTAGAGAACACAAGCTTGGTAGTGTGGTGCCACAGTGTGTGAGATCCAGATGTTTGGGCACTGGCTGTGGCTGCTTGCAGCAGGCAGTGGTAAAGGATGATGCACATTTTCTCTTTCAGCCTAGAGGCCCACTTTATTTCTTCAGTGGAGCAGTGGAGATGTTGGGCTTATAGTGACCACCTTTTTAAGAATTCCCAGTCTCAGGAAATGTTTTCACTAATGCGCGGCAGACTGCTCAGAGAAGTCAGTGAAGTCTGTTTGTTTGTGTTGGGAGCTGGTCTTTCTTGGGAACTAAGCAATAGTTTATGGGAACAGTGCTGGAGTTCCAGCTAGCAAAGTGCTCTCATGAAGTGATGTGTTGCTGCTGGTTATTAAAAATACAAACCTACTTAGGGCCAGAGGAAAATAAGGGGGAAAATGGGAGAAGTCAAATAAAATTTCACAGGATTGTGCCAGAGTGAAAGTCCCCAGGGAAATACTGCCTCTGGGTGCATTAGGAATCTAAATTAGCTCTATGAGTTTATTTAAAATAATTGACACCAAGTTATGCTATGATGTGACACTAAAGAGGAAACTTCTGTGTCTCTCATGTACATATTTAAAAATTTAGCTGCTACGTGTCAGAGTTGCACAGGCTTTAGTGTGGACAACTTTACCATGAATCGGTGGCCTCAGGCTCATGTGCATTTAGACAAAGAGCTTCAGAGCAATCAAATGCTTTAATTTTTATTCCTGGGTGATGGGCTTATTGGAAAACATGCTATGTGGAATATTTTAGACACACTTTTAAATTCTTTGCAACTTCTTATCTTTGCCGTCATTTCCTTGCATTCTGAAAGTCATGTAAATCCATGCATCTTGCCCAGTTTCAATTTTTGACAGAGTAAACACAGGTGGTGTGAATTAGCATATAGTGTAACTGGTGCCTACTGATGGGAAAGGTGACTGCTGAGCCATTGGGAGGTTCTAGGAGTGACCTTGGTGACTCCTTTATCCACTGGTCTTGAGTACATGCATTATCTTCTTAAAAGCATACGATTATTCTATACAACATCTAAAAGTCAAGCATTTGTGTATATTTTAAGATTATCTCAGAAGAGAAGCTTGGGAAGGACATCCTTCTGGGGATTGCAGCTTATCTGTTTGCCCCTGTTGTTAGATGTATATTGTTGTTGTCATATGAGGTGACTGGGTGAGCCAGGGCTGGGTTTGGAAGCAGAAACTCGGGAAGAAAAAAGCTTACCATTTCTGCTTGCCCCAGAATGTGCGTTTGTAAAACCTAATCAGGTTTAGTAATCAAGGCCTCTGGGTTTCTGTTTCTGTTTTGTTTTTCTTCACAACCTTCTAAAAGTGCTCTAAGTTTATATTTCAGACAAAAATATGTGTGGTTTGGCATTCCACCACTTTCTCTTTTTCTTGTGTTCCTAGTTCTTTTACACAAGCCATCTTCAGTTGTCTGCAAATCTGCATTAGATTCTTGGAATGACTATTACAAAATATTTCAGATTGATCACTTAAAAAAAACTTACGTTCACACACACTGGATGGATACCACAACTCTAAAATCAAGGTTCATTGGTTCCAATCAAAGGCTCTGAGAAAGAATCTGTTCCTTGCTTTTCTCTTAGGTTCTGGTGTTTAGTAGAAATTTTATTGGCTTGCACATGTATCACCCCCGTCTCTGCTCCTGTCTTCACATGGTGTTTTTCTCTGCATGTGTCTGTGTTTACATGGCTTTGTCCTCTTTGTGTCTTTATTCAAATTTCCCTCTTCAGTAGGGACATCAGTCATTCATCCATTTCGACCTCATCTTAACTTGAGTGCATGTACAAAAATTTTATCCCCAAATAAGGTTATTGGGAATTTTAGTATTCGTATCTAACATATTTTTTCAACTGAGAGGTAGTCTTTATTAACCTGAGATATACCTATATAAGGTATCGTTTATTTTCTTATACTTTCCCTACTTTTTTTTTTTAAAGGAAATGATCACATGTGTTTGCTCACTCTCTTGATAGGCTTTAAGTTTTATGTTTCTCAAGAGTGTTTTATAATCACATTTTGGAATTTATGATTTCTCAAATATTGCAAAGACATTTGTTCAGCAGCAGAATTCTTCAGTTTGAATTTGCTAGTAACTCACGTTTACTTGTGGTTTCTCTGATGTTAGAAGAGTCTGCTGTTCATGCTGCTGGGGCACCTTGGACTTGAGACATCCTTGTAAGAAATTGTCCTGCACCGAAGCAAATACTGGGGTCCTGCAGAATTGGCCTACCTACCTTCTCAAAACTCTGAGTTCACATTAAGTGATTGCTAGTTCTACTGTCCTTTCTGGAAGACAAGCTCAACCTTCAGGATCTCTTAACTATGCTTCTTCCTCATGCCAGATTTGCATGTAACTTAGATAAATTTAATTACAAGGGCTTATCACAACAATATAAAACCAAAAATGTTTGAAAAGAACAATTAATTAATAAGCAATAAATGGATTATTTCTCCTGTCATCTCATTTCAGTATACACAATTCACAACACAATGTGGATCTGTCTTTCCCTTTGAAACCACTGTAGGAAGCTTTTCTTGGATTCTGAATTCAGAGTCCCAGGTGAGAGTCAGGGGCTGGACCTGCCAACCAGTCCTCTTAAGAGGCTGAATGTTTTGAGTCGAATTGAAATGGAAGACCTCTGCTAGTTCTCTCTGAAGTTTTGCACAACTGGTACAGGGGCAAACAGGCGCTTTGCTACTGCGTTCATTAGATTTCCTCCTCTGCTGACTCCTGGGTTCCCAGCACACTGCTGTGCAATCCTGGAGGCATTTTGGACTCACAGGCAGGACTTTTAGTTGGTGCTCACAGTGGTCTGGATGCAAGCTGAGTGTTTGGACTGGATTTTTACAAGCTTCAGGTGATGGTGACTGGGCAGACAAGGTTGAGAACATGGATATATATGGAACTAACATTCTGTGGAGGAGTTCAGATTCTGTTCTCCAAAGAGGGCTGGAAGCTTTTGGGCATTTTCCCCATGGGATAACTTAAGCAGTCTCTATGCAATGGTGAGCTGGGTAGGGAGCTCCCTCCACCTCACATGGAAGGAGCTTGTCCACTGCACTAGGCTGGTTAGATTAGGTACAGTCGTCTTGTTAGCTAGCATCTTAGGTGATACCTTTGCACTGGAGAGAACTGTGTGTGTCCTTTGAGTCTCCTACAGATGCACTTCCAACACGGTGTGATGCCCACTGCGTCCAGCAAAGGGCTGGGTGGGAGCAGAGGAAGGAGCTGTGCCTGGTTATGTGGAGGTGCCATCACAGTGCCTTCTCCCTCGGTATCCTGCCGTTTTGTGTGGAAATTCTCTTGGATCAGCAAAAGAATGAAGGGAATAGGTTATGTTGATAACAGATCCAAAGTGTACATTTTACTTGTAATAAAATGTTATCGCATTCTGGTTTGTGAATAAACAGAGGTACCATGTTAGGAAATTAAGTAGTTATATATTTTTAATTGCCATTAATAGATATTTTTATCTATCAAAATAGTAATTCATCCAGTATGAAACATAAACATCAAACTTCAAACTTCACGCTGGAGCAGTACAGGCAAGGCTGGAGGTTATAGGACAAGATCACAGCAGAGTACATTGTTCAAGGCAAAAAACCTTTGCTCATATCTCCTATCTCTGCATATGAAACTCTTGAGTTTCATTTCTCATCTGGGGAGTAGGAGGCTGAATTACCTGGAGGCTTGTGTGAGGAAATCAGGCTCCGCTAAATGAAAAGTGTCAACGTATGTCATTTTGGGAACAGCTGAGTTTCCCAGGGATTGGAGTATTTTAACACTCTTATTTTCTAATTTTTAACACAGCTGTTTAAATGGGTTTTTCTGTGCCACTTCCTCATCCGATCTGAAAAGTCAGATCTGCAGGAGCCTTTGGGAGGGGTGAGGCATCCCTGGCTGCTGATTCTCTAGCAAATACTAAACTCCGGACCGTGCTTCCTGCATCTTGTTGGATGTTAGAAACCACACGATGCAATGTTCTCCATGCTGAGAGCTTGGATTTCTACCTGGTGTCACATCAAGAATAGCAACTGATTCTCCACTAAAATATTAGGTAGGAGCTTTTCTATTTATCCCAATTGTTCGCTGATTAATCAGTGGTTATTTTAGTCTGAAAATTGCTATAACCAGAGCTTCCATTAAATGAGCTTAGAAACACAGAAGAAATAGGATGGTAAAGAACATTGTTTGCCTCAGCTGCTGTCACTACTTAAGCCTGAATGCCCATTACCTTTAAGCCTGCACTAGAAAATGGAAGTTCGAGGGTCAGTGAGGAATAACAATATTGATTTAACCATTGCAATATTAATTTCTTCTCCTACCTCAAACCTGGAAATGAACTCACCATATCCAAAGAAATGTTTTTAAAAACCTGATGGAGAAGGGAAATGTCACTAGCTTATAACCACCCAGAAACCAGTATGCCCGTCGGCACACTTGGGTGTCTGTCCCCTCATCCCACCCCAGGAAAGTGTTTGCTCAGGTCTTTTCAGTATCTTCCCAGTTCATCGTTACCCTAACACATAAAGGGGAGCCTCGCAGCACCTGCACGATGTTTGAAGGGCATCATTTACTTCTTGGTTGTACCCAAGACCCCTGCGGGTGCACCTCCTAGTACTGAGCTGCCCTGGGGGCACCCTAAGGTCCAGGCATGGGTGCCTTCCTGCCGTTGCTGCTCAGCGGCCTCCAACGTGCTCACCAGTGGTGAAAACCACGCCCCCCGCGTGTACAAAGAGCTGACGCCCCCTGGCGGTTGTTTTGGGGTCCTGCCAAAGTCTTCAGG